GACGATATGTTTTCACGTGTGCGCATGCGCACTTACATACGCGATCTCTCTTTTTCTTTACCATTATCGTTAGCTACTTCTATTGTTCCATTTATTAACATTAAATAACATTACTTAAAACAACCATATTAATTTTACTACAGCTACAGCCAAGGTCTTATTTTCTTCAGTTTTATATGTAGAACCAGTCAGTCACTGGCTTTGTAATCAACGAAAACAATGCTGTGTCATTTCCTCGTGTGTTTTAATATTCTACGTATTATTAATGAATTGTATTGCTCATTTTGCACACATAAACATTAATTCAATAAAAAAGACATTCAGTAATGAATCTTTTGTACATAACAGAAATGACGTTGTTTACACGATTATGCACATCGTCTGCACGTTGGCGGGCCTTTCAAACCCGTCGAAATTCAAGTTTCCGCCGTCAAAATTTTTTTTTATTTTTTTTTTTGTGTTCCAATAAAATACGTTAAGAATTAAAAACTCGCGAAATTTGAGAAGCTACTATACGACATTTAACCCTTCAATATGTCTTCAAAGAGACCATGATGCAGAGAAAGTGGTGCTAGTGCTTCCAAGCATAAGTACAAGTCACTATCTATCCAGGAAAAGGGTGAATTTCCATGGTCCGGCACCGGTCAGGTCCCGAAGTTGCCGGACTAGAGAGGTACAACCTGTACTACAAAAAATTCCCTGAAAATCTCTTGATTTTATACCGTTTTATTCATTAATTAGTCATCTATCATGCCACAAGTTGACTTGTGTTTCATGAACTATCCACTATGTGTAGTGTTCTCTTGGTAAGGGAGGGTGCAATCGATATCTCCTACAATACCATATGGACAGGACTGATTCCCGTCAGCTTACAGTTGCTATTTAGGGATTTTTCCTAAGTAATTATCCAATAGTATTTGGGATGAAATGAATGGGTATTAGAGCTTATTGTATTGATTTTTGTGTACTGTACATTAAAGCCTCAACTAACGATGATTGTAGATGTAGTAAAATTAAAGTATAAAATATGTATATTTTTAATTAATGTTATGTGATGTACGTACAGTTGAAGTGACCAATGAATTGGTAGAGAAAAAAGTGAGACTGAGCGCGAGGCCAACTTATTTACGTATACGCTCATGGAAACAGTGTCATTTATCTTATGTACAAAGGATTCATTAGTACTGTAATGCTTATTACTCAATATTTATTTGATTGAATTTATGTTTATGTATGCAAAATGAACAATACAATTCATTAATAATACAGTACGTAGAATATTAAAACATACACGAGGAGACGAGTCGGAATTGTTTTCATGTTTACACCCATGACATGGTTCTACATATGAAACTGAAGAAAATTAGACCCTGGTTATAGCTGGAGCAAAATCAATGGAAAAAAGAATATGTTTGTTTTAATTAATGTTAATAACTGGAACAACAGAAGTAGCAAACCACTAATACAGTAAGTAGTTAATGGATCCACTTCAGAAAATATGTTCACTGCTTGCTCCATGTAAACAAATGCTTCTGCCAAATGTTTAGTCATAAATATGTGAGAAGGTGAGGTGGGGTAATCTGTTGGTGTGTTTGTGTTCCGGTCATACTCTTGTTCAAATTCTTCATTAATTAGGTCTTTTCCGTGACTGTTTAATAGCTCCTGAACATTCTCTTCATCAACTTCTTCAAATCCTACAATGTGCTTGGCAAGCTCAACAATATTTATTTGAATGTTTGACACACACACACACACACACACACACACACATGGGAATTAAGACAACAAGCATCCAGTGAGAGTCTTGTTGTGTGACTGCATGGAGGTAAATTAAAAGATCAGCTGTTGAGGAGCTTATCGCTTGGCAACATTGGTACATGTTACACTCCTTTCCACTCCATCTCTCTAATCACCGACACCTTTCTTTCTCACTCCATATCTTAAAATGTTATATACAGTAATGTAATGTTGAAGGAATACAACTTTGTTCATTTATACAGTTATGTCGAGGCATAATTTTGTATTATAATTTTGTAAACTAGGTGTTTTGATTGTTTTCTGTCTCGTGCAGCAGTTATTTTGTCAAATTTAGTGACATTTTGTGTACCACTAGATGTGGTATGAGGAACTCCAGAGACAACTATTTGGTGATTTAGAGTATTTTTTAATATGGATATGTATTTTTGTAAGTCCCGAGGAGGAAAAAAAAAGTATATTTTGTGGATTCGAAATGGGGTTTGCTACCAGCGAACACAGCCCGGCCCGGGGAAAGGACACGACTGTTTTTTTACGTTACGAGAAGGCGCGTTAGCAGGGCCCAGCAACAGGTGTGTACCAAGTATTTTTAGCTCTATTAGGGTGTATTTGAAAGGTTGAGGATAATGAGTGTTATATGAAGAATGCGATGAATGAGTTGAGGAAGTTTGTAAGCCAGAATAAGGCTAATAAAGGCATTGCTCTACAGACATTCATCCCCTGTCACCCCTGAATGAGTCGGCGTCGAGCGTCCACCCCCTTGTTATGCTGGTGGGTTGGGCTTATTGTTATGTACTGTTTAGTTTCTACTAATGTGTTGTGTCAATATGTGATTACAAAAACAGTTGATGCTTGTTTTGTATGTACAATGTATAATTACTAGTTATGTCTGATCTAGGTCCCAGCTTTTCCTTCCTCAGGTGATTTCTAGAGCAAATAAAGGAGAGAAAACTACAAGTGTGGGTCCTATCCCTGCTATGGCAGCCCGCTGCTCTCTTCTTGCTACATATATATTGATGTATTATTTATGTAAGAATTTTCTAGAATGTATTGCATCATTTTTGTTATGATTTACTTTTTATTTTAAGCCTAGATTATTCTAGAATTTTCCAGGCGGGTCTCGAGCCGACCTCCCGCATCTGGACACCACTTGAATGCTCTAGGCATCTGATAAGACATATATAAGCAGCAGCGAGCGGCCTCGAGTCAGTCGATAACTTCCGCTCAGAGTGTAAAGAATAAGTCTAGTAGAACAACTGAAGATAATTGTTGTGCAAGTCTTGTGGAATTGTCATAAACAATATAAAGCGAAAAGACCAAGGAATTGTATGCTGGTAGTGTGCCGACTACAGTACAGTATATGTTTGAAGTGAGAAGTCCAGCTGTGAAGACATTACCCTGTTAACAGTGTTATGAAGAAATGGTGCTTATTAAAGAAGACTACAGTGCACAAGTATGTTTCTGTGACCTGGTGGAAATCTACCTGCCTGTTGTCTGTCTGTACCGAGAAAAACCAATCGTCGGAAAATTACCGGGGACTGGTGGAACAGCCAGTGGTAATTTAACAACACTTGTGAGGCATCCACTGCTTCTGTACATATGACCCTAGCCGCTGGTAACCAGTGGTGGAAGCTGGGTAAGCGGTGAAAAAGGAGGGTCGTAATAATACTTACCGGTGCACTTATCACAATCTCCCTGAAAATACTTTAGGTATCGTATTTATTCAAGACATCTTCAGGTCATGAGACCCACTAATCCCCACCCAAGAAAGGGTAATCTAACATTCCATCAGAAGGTCAATAATATGAGACCACTAATCCCCCACCCTACCTCCACCTGACATTGAGTCAGGTCAGGTTCCCCCCAAAATACTTTAGCTTTCGTCTTTATTCAAGACATTTTCAGAAAATGCTCTCGATTTTCAACCTCGGAAAATTTGTTCCCAAAGCCGGAATTTTCCCCAAATTACGGCTTTGGGAATGATTTTCCGAGCAAATTTTAATTCCAGCTAGCGGAGAGTTCCGGGTTTGAAGGATTCCGTCTAACAAAGATATTACTGTATATATAAAACAAAACCTTATTAACCTTATTAATAGACAGACAGAGAGACAGAAGGATTCTTGGAACCTATTGTTGCTCCGCCTTCAGATCAATGCACCAGGAGGGGACAATAACATCATACCAATATGATTCTGACAATATAAACTAGAGGGAATACTACTTAAAATTTTATGTGTAGAAGGAGATGCTTCCCTCATGTATGTTATTTGAAAGAACTGAAAAAAGGATGGGTTTCTCAAAATACTTTTAAGTAGTTTTCTGTGAATATCTTGTAAGCAACTTAAGTACCCTCTAATTGCTGATCTTACCAACACAATGAAACTTGACAGTGGAATTAGTTTGTGGTTAATTCATTTTTACATAATCTGTGAGCTTAAAAACTGAAGAGATAACTGTGTATTTGACTCCTTCAATGAAGTAAAGATATAGGAACAAGTTCTTTACCTTTATAACTACCTAAAAACCTTTTAGTAATACGTACTTCGAATATCTTTTTCTTACAAGACAAAAATACAACAACAGTGCTAATGCTATAAATTGTAAAATTATGAATATTAGTTTGACAGTTATATAAGTGAAGCAGTGTAACAAGAATTTGGGTGGCTTTAGCAAATTTGGTACAAGGATATGAGGAATGAAGACCTACAGAGAAAAATTATTAGTAATGTATCAACAGGGTAGTTATGAAGATAAAGATGGCAGAAATAAAAGAAAAGTGTAGACACTGTGCAAATAACTAAAAAAGTGTAAGGAAAGATGAAAAATTATTTAAGAAGTAAAATAAATACTGGTACAGTTTTCTTTTGTAGCATTTAAATGTGAGAAAGAAAATGGAACCGGTTGTCAGCCACTGAAAATTAGTAGATTATTCAATTAGAATAACTCTAAAAGTTTGCAGGCTAGAGTGTTTGGAACAAATAGACCATTAAAGATAGGATAAAGTTAGCGGCGCATAAACTATGAATAAACTACAGTTGTATACTGATTTGGGGAAGAAGTGCTCTTAAGATGTATTTTGTGAAAACAGCATTCAGGAGTTATACAAACATAATTAATTATATAGTTTAATTCAGAGTTTATTTCATGGTGAAGCCTTTGGCAAGGATACACAGGAGGGGAAGGAGAAGCTGATGGAGGTAAGGATAGGAGGTGAGAGCAAGGTACTGGGGTGACATCACACTCACTTGGCGCAATCGTGTCCCGGAGAGAGGGTGGGTTCACTTGCTGCTGCTCTGTTATAAGGTGGTACATATAGTGTAACAATTAGTTTTAAGAGGTATCACACACAACTTTGTAACAACATTTAATGAGTTGCTGTCCACTCAGTCTCCATGAAAAAAGCAAATTTACTGAAATAATTTACAATAAATCAACAAATCAAACACTGATCCTAGAAATTCTCATATTATAGCCGAGTCAGGCCAAGGAGACGCATGATTTTTTCCATCAAGTTTGAAAGTTGCAACCCCGACTACCTCATGTCATTGACAGCTGGCTCTAATTTAAGCAATAAGAACTATGTGGTCTCAATTTTAGTTTATTGGAAAAGGTTAGTAGTCAGAGGTTTACCACTGAAAGTTGAGAGTTGATGGAATCATGGTGGTCACCTTTCCTAGTCTATCATCAGCCATTCTGAATTTCAAGTACCTAACCACAGTTCATCTGAACCCCACTAGAGAACCCACAGAGAGGGAGGGTTCAGAGTCTTCTTGGCCTGAATCAGATATCAAATGTGATATCTTGGAACAACATGTAAATCTAACTACCACGTAACATAAAGCTGTAAAACTCCACCTTCCTGACTCTCTTCGAGGATAGGGTTCCCATGGGAAAGTTGTATTAATTGTTAAAATGACTTGAATTGTGACCCAAAGACTTGGTGGATAAAAACATGAGTTTCCTTAGATCAATGTAAAGTTATGAATTAAGATTACGAGAATACTTAAAGGTTGCATTACAATATTGTTTACTGGATAAAAATTTGCAATACATCCATGGATGACTGAGCAACAAAAATTATAAATTAACAAAGTTAACAAAATAAAATTAAACAATAACAAAGACGATAACACAACAAAAAATAAAGAAAATAAGTAGTTGGCCTTCTGGACATCATCATCATTACAAAATTTTCAAATTTATTTTCATGGTTTCTTTGGCTGAGCTAACAAGCCAGTCAATGGCTGAACTGTACTGTATTGTATATTAACTACGTATACTATAACCAGAAAAAAACTGAAGAGATGACTTAGATAATACTGTAGTCTGTCCCTGAAACAATCGGTGTAAAAGGATTTGCCATATATGAAAGAAATAATGATAACAGTCCATAGATCCAGGAAGTATACACCACAGTTAAATATCAAGGCAGTAATAGAGTCTGAGTGGGTCTCACAAGGATAAGACAATTAATACCAGGGAAGTACAGTATAAGAAATAAGGTCAATAATAGGGCTTTCAGGTTTTGTATCATGTATCTTGTTGTCTTGAGTACAGATACATGTTTCACTAGTGAAACATCTTGTTAAGTTTCCAGATCACAGGCTGTGGGGTTATGTTACATGTACAGTGTTCAAGTCACTGGTTTACATTTTAAGAGTCATGTCTCTTATTAGTGTCTACCAAGAGTTTGCAGCCATGTATTTATTTATGACTGTGGTGACAATACTGTACAGGGGTGTATTGCTATAAATATTTTGATGTGTATAAAATGAACAAATATTTTAAGATTAATATTGTACTTTATTTACTATTTTTTTACTATTTTTTTTATCAAATTGATGATTCATTTCTTTAATAACTCAGTTTCCATTAAAGTGAACCAGAACTGGGCATCCTTAACAGTTATATATGGATTTATTTGTGATGCATCAATATTAAACAAGCATTATGTAAGAGCCAAAGAGCTGCAAGGGGGATGGGGCATCTTAGCCTAGTACCATCAGCTAAATAAAAACAACCACCACCATAGTGGGAATTTGTTCTAATAACAGGACAGTAAATCTAACTGGAATGATGAATGCTACAAAATAACAACTGCTGCTTCTATTACAGTAACCTCCTGAAGGATCCTGCTTTGTCCTGGAGATCCATCCCGGGGTCTTCAATTTTCAAAAGATGACACACTTCCCACTGGAACTTTTCCCTTCAACAACTAACAGTCAAGGTTCTCTTCCATATGTGCACTTGTCCACTTAGTCTCTACAGCAACAGTAATATACAATACTCTACCCTCAATGATTTGCAATGTTTTCCTTGGTTGCCTCTCACTTGATGACAATTATAATCAGATGACTCAAGGTAAAGGTTTTACAAACAAAATTATCACTGAACCAACAATTTCTGACTTACTTGGAATCTTTATCACCCATTCCACTATGATTATCATTGGTCTAATTCAGAGTGAGCTTTCATTTTCAACTTACAGCTGTCTGGTTGTGCTTCACTACACTTAATAAGCTCCATCTTAACTTCACATTTTCTCTGAACACTTCAGGATTCTCTTTCTAAGTAGAATAACAATACAGGGTGTACTCTATTGTACTGACTTCTTAGGGTGAATTTGACCTCATCTTCAAACTAAATATTCAGCTTTAATTTGTACAATTCCTCATAAGATCAAACATCCGAATTCACTTTAAATCATATAAGCAATATCAATTAAATTCATAATATTCTATGGATGCAAAATATAAATGGCTCTTAAAATTTTACCAAAAGACTCAACAGGGACCTTACCTGATGCTCTGTTGAGGTTCGCAGATCTCTCCGCAGATATTGAACGACCTACTGAGGCATCACGGTCCATGGAGGTGTCTCGGGCACTTGGATCCATACTTTTGGACCGAACTTTGGAACGACTAAATCTTTTCTTTAGCGTACCAAAGAAAGAATCTCGTTTGCGACGGCTTCCTCTACTTCTACCCCGCTCTGTTGATTAATGCATTATAATGTACAGTACTAATCTATGAACATTTTAACATTAAATTCACTAATAAAACCAACCACACATAGATCATTTAGATCCCCCAAAATATTCATCAATTGTACAGCAGCGGATTCATCTGAATTCTCAGTTCACTTAACCCAGTAAAAGATATTACCATCAGTATCAAGGGGATCTGCTGCATCAGCATTTGTAGTAGCATTGGTGGTGGAAGTAGTTGTAGTGGTCGGGGATAAGCTGGTAGAGGGAGCTGTACTGTGAGTGGACGTGGTAGTAATAATAGGGGTTGTTGTAGTCGCTGTTGTGGTAAGGGCAGTCAGGTCCTCGGTGGGGAATTCAGGATATTCTCCCTCCTCATCCGGCTGTGGGTAAATTAGTAATTAAAGGATAAGATCTTATAAATAACTCATCCAACATGTAGGCAATACAGCTGCAAGAATAAAAGTCTTCCAAATAATCTATTAACCTTGTCCTTCAGCCTTGCTCTATACCATACATCCTTTTTTTTCCCTTTCACTATTAAGCTTTTGTTGTTTGATACTACAGCATCTCTTGCAGTTTAACATTATCATTCAAGTTTACCACAATGGCAACAAGGAAACGATAAGCACGAAAACACCAATGGTTAGTGGTAAAAGTCTAACAATATACTTAACACTTTATAAAAGACATTTTGGGATGTTCTGCACACACACCACCCACAACGATAAAAGCACATTAAACACGGGAGATGTGTTAGTGATGACAGAAAAGTTGCTGTTCAGAAGAAAACAAAAAACAAGTCCAGAAAAAACTATAGTTTGAAGAAACTTGATATAGAGTGTAACAAGGAGGAGATACATTAAGGCACAACAGGTCTTTCTTACTATCCCCATCAAATAGGGAGAGCCAGGACAAGTTGCATGTATCTTAGTTATTCCTCTTTCTCCTAAAGCTAACTCAGGTGTGTGTGACCCACATCCTGAACTTGACCATAGAATCAATAATAAACTTATACAGTAATGTTTTTTCTTTCATTTAATGCAATTTTTCCCTGTAATTTATGAAAGCAAATCTGAAATAAACCAATTATTATTAATATTATTGTTGTTGTTATTAATATTAATACTGTACTAGGGTTAGTATTAGTAGTAGATGTAGCAGCAATGTGCATGAATGCCTGGAGAGCATGGCATCAAGTAATTTTGGTGGCAGTACACCTTACTAAAGGTTGATGCTGTATTGTGTGAAGCAACAGAGATAAATGATACTGACAATTGGGGCCTTATTTTGTAAGGGGAATATCATAGCAGAACATGTGTACAGTATTACAGCAGTAAGAATGAATAACAATGAATAAATGGAAAGTTAATGTGTTTGATTGTTTTTAATGTCAGCCATCCTGCATTACGGTGGGAGAAGACTTAAGAGAATGAAAACCTGATTCAAAAGAATCAGACAAAATACCTGAATTTAGTGCTCTGTATTTTTTCTTGTGGTATTAAAACTTCATCAGGCACATATAGATGCACAGACAGAGGTAACTCTGAACTAGCTCAGTACCGACCTGACCTAGCCCAGTACCGACCTGACCTAGCTTGGAGAAGGACATGCCCCTAAATGCTCGTGTTAGTGACCATAGGAAATGGCCGCCATGGATTGTTTTGTTGTGGGGGAAGAGGGACGGTGTGTGAGGAAAGACAACCCCCTGGCCACTCTGTTAAGTCGGCTGGAGCAGTTGAGGAGAGAGATAGACGTTTTAAAGGGGGAGAACGAAGTCCTCAGGACTGAACTCCTTCAGGCAGGTGTCCTGCTTAGCAGGAGACCTGCAAAAGAGGGTCAGGAGGAGCATGGGTGGATAGTGGTTGTCTCCAAGGGGACTAGGGTCAGACTCAGGAAAGTTGACCAGGGTGTGGAGTGCAGTAACCCCTACCAAGTGTTGGAGGAAGCTGGCGGGGAAGAGAAGAGGCAGGACGGTGTAGTGCCAGGAGAGAAAAGGGCAGTTGTTCAAACCCTGCCCAGTGGTAAGGTCGTGGTAGTTGGGGACAGCCAGGTGAGGTTCTTAGATAGGACTTTTTGTGCAAGAGATGTGAAACGTAGAACTAGGGTGTGTTTTCCTGGGGCTGGGATAGGACATGTAGCTGAGAGGATGGATAGGGTTTTGTCAGGGGAGGGTACCTAGCCAGTAGTGTGTCTTAGTGTAGGAGGTAACGACATAGGAAAGGTTAGGAGTGAGGAACTTTTCAGGAGGTATAGGGAGGCGCTAGGGAAGGTTAGAGATAGGGGAGGGATCCCGATAGTATGTGGTGTCTTGCCTAGAAGAGGAGTTGGCGTTGATTGGCTGTCCAGGTCAATTGCTATAAATTGCCAACTGGAAAAACATTGTGCAACCAATGGTTGGGCATTCAATGATAACTGGCAACCATTCTATGGCAATGACTACCTGTACAGTCGTGACAGAGTACAATTATCTCTCGCGGGGGTAAAGACGTTGTCTACATTCCTGGAGCATGAAATTGCCAATCCAAAGGGAGGGGGGGGGCTTTTGCCAGTAGAGAGAGATCAGGGTAAGTGGGAGTCAAAAACAAGCAAGTCCTAGGGAGTAAAATTGATTACTCAGGACAAGGGGTAAAACAGGACCAGGGAAGGGTAGGTTTAAATGTATTCTATACAAACAGTAGGAGCGTTAGAAAGAAAATAGACTTGCTGAGAGCGGTTGTATGTACCGAGAATGTAGACGTCATAGCAAACTTGGATGAATCTGGAGAGAAAGAACTTTTTATCAGAGTACCACAAAGAAGGGTACAACCTTTTTCACAAGGACAGGGAAGGTAGGAAGGGGAGGGTCGCTCTTAGTCAAGGATACATTAAAATGTTGTATTAATAATTCAATAAAAGGTGAAATAGGACCGAGTCTGTATGGTAGAAATTGTGGAAGGAAGAGAAAAACTAATTATGGGAGTGATTTACAGGCCTCAAGTCTTGGGAAAGAAGCAGCTCAGCCCATATGGCAGGAAATGAGTAGGGCAGCAAAATACAACAACCTGTGAATTATGGGGATTTCAACTCAGAAATAATGATGGGACATTATAGGTGACTATGAATCTGAAGACTTCCTAGATGCAGTACAGAATTTTTTAAACAACTAATTACAAAACCTACTTGAGATGACAATATATTAGACCTAGTACAGGTTGTACCTCTAGTCCGGATTCTGTGGTCCGGAAACCCCGTGGTCCGGAACGATTTTAGTTTGTCCAATAGGTAGTTAGGCAGTTTTTTTTTAATTATCTGAATTATAATTAGAGGAGTATAATTTTGCCCCAGGCCCCAATGTGGGTCAGTGACCTATGTCCGTTTGGCTAATCCCGTAAAAACAACAACAACAAAGCCGCGGAAATTAAGGTTTGTTTACATCCGCAGTTCGCCGGTTTTCTCTCTTTTCTTTCGTTTAATAGTAAGTTGCTTTCATATTCTTATGTAGAGTAATGACGATATGTTTTCACATGTGCGCTCTCTTTTTTTACCATTATCGTTAGCTACTTCTATTGTTTCATTTATTAACATTAAATAACATTATTTAAAACAACCATATTAATTTTACTACAGCTACAACCAGGGTCTTATTTTCTTCAGTTTTATATGTAGAACCAATCAGTCATTGGTTTTGTAAACAACAAAAACAATGCCGTCTCGTCTCCTCTTGTGTTTTAATATTCTACGTATTATTAATGAATTGTATTGCTCATTTTGCACACATAAACATTAATTCAATCAAAGAGACTTTCAGTAATAAACAATAATGAATCTTTTGTACATAAGAGAAATGACGCTGTTTACACGACAGCACGCCGCCTGAACGCTGGTGGGCTTGCTCAAAACCTGGCAAATTCGAAGTCACCGTGAAAATTTTTTAAATGTGTTGTTTTTTTGTTTTCAAATAGAAAACGTTGAACTAAAAACTCGCGAAATTTGAGAAGCTACTGTACGACATTTAACCCTTCAATATGTCTTCAAAGAGACCATGAAGCAGAGAAAGTGGTGCTAGTGCTTCCTACATAAGCACAAGTTACTATCTATCCAGGAAAAGGGTGAATTTCCATGGTCCGTCACCGGTCAGGTCCCGAGGTTGCCGGACTAGAGAGGTACAACCTGTATTAACAAATAAAGAAAATATTATCAGAGATATCACAATAGGGGAAGAACTAGGGAACAGTGATCACAGAGAAATCAGGTTCACCCTAAATTGGGAAATGAAAAACAATGACAATATGGTCAGAGTCCCAGACTTTCGATCGGCGGATTATGGGGGGTTAAGAAGGTACCTAGGTGAGGTCGCCTGGGAACAGTCAGGTCAGTCTCGTAGGAGCGGGTGAGGTCACCGCACTATAATATACAGTATTCACTAGTATACTACGTATAGAACAGGAACAAAATATACCAGACAGAAAAATTAGGTCAAATAAGAATGAGCCAAGGTGGATGACCAAAAAAACTTAAACATGACATAGGAATAAAGAAAGGAATATATAAGAAATTAAAGGAGGAGGAGCATCTCAGGAATAGGTATAATGAACTATCTAGGAATGTTAAGAATAATGTAAGGAAAGCAAAGAGGGACTACGAAATCAGGAAGCAAGATAATCCAAGGCGAATCCCAAGGGATTTTTCCAGGTATATAGGGCAAAGGTCAAGGACAAAGTGGAACCTTTAAGGTCAGAGAGAGGGGGAGTGATCGATGGTAGTGAAAAATAAGCAAAGCATTAAACAGCTACTTCTTATCAGTTTTCACAGAAGAAATTCACGAGGAAATGCCAGAGGTGGAACTGATATTTAGGGGAAATGAAGAAGAGAAATTAAAGAATATCACTATCAGAAAAGAGGATGTTCTTATGAAGATAATTAAATTAAAGTAGAGAAAATCCCAAGGGGGGGATGAAATTTTCCTTCAAGTTTTGAAAGAGAGTAAGGAACAGATTAGCATAGAGAATGGTAGTAACTCTCGACAGGAGCTGCCATGCACAGGCCAACCGGCCTATTGCAGACTCCTTATTTTCTTATGTTCCTATATCCTCCCACTGGGTGGGTTATAAGTGGAGTATCATTTTTATTATTACTGTATCAGTATCATTTCTTACCATTTTAGTATTGAAGACATTATTATTGAATACTGTATACTGTACTGTCCAATAATTTTATCAGTAATTATTA